CCAGATGATAGCTACAGTCAAACTTCTATAGAAAGCATCGCTAGGATAAAGATAGAAGTCTGAGTTATATTTCTTCGGAATCGTGAATTAACTTTTGAAACAAAATTCAATTTCAGCCAGTGAAACCCATAGCTCAGCCACAAACATCCGATACAGTAATACTGGAACGATTGCTCAGTAAAGGTTACGATTGGCGAGTTCGACCACCGGCCAAAGACGGTAAGCACCTTCTGGTGATTCAAATGTCAATTTTCGTGAAAGTTAGGGAATCCCGACCCAGAAAATGATGGTCCTTAACGTTTAGGCACGATTTACAGTGGTCCAGTTGTGGTGACTGTTAATATGCTCATAAGGAGGTAAGGGTATTTTTCGAGAATGAAAGCTTCGAAGTCCTCGCAGATAAATTGTCGGGGATCCTATTTTTTGAATTTCAAGTAGATTTTGATGCGAAAAAGTTTTTCAGCATATCCAAGATAGATAATGTCAATATGGAATACAGTGTACAATTGACATTCCGTGAAAGTTGGCTGGACGAAAGGCTGAAGTAAGTTGACCGGTAGTCAGTATTACTAACTGGGTTACTTATTCTTGGCCACCAAACTACTTTTCTCCCACCGATCTGGTGTGGTACAGCCCCTTTTGGCCCTGAGACTTTGTTACCTTCAACCCGATTCCATTAACACTCGAAGCTTCATCATTGGGAAATATTTGGGAAACCCTATACATATGTAATTCTGAAAGTTATCTATCACATCAAGTATATATTCTTATAATTTTTGTTGCTTGATTCCTCTATCGAACTACTGAGAATCTAATTGAAAGAAATTATGAAAAATATAAAAAAAGTAAAAACTTAGCTGCTCCCCAAAGTAGTCATTTCATACACAATTTATCTACTGCCAAATGGGATTTCTGATTCCTTACAGATATGGCGTTAGTTCCGACAACCTTCCCGAATTCCTAATCCTTACCGCCGGTCAACAAATATGGATGCCGGATTCGTTTTTTCAGGTAATCATAACAATCTAGTATGTGGATATAGGACAGTAACAAGTGATTCGCCAAATGTTTAATTCTGTCGAATGGAAACAGATACTCCCACAAGAAAAAGTGAAACTACTCACTTTTACGCTGGCTGGTCCAGTAGATTGGTGGTCAGTGGCGGCTCATTCCAATAAAGCAACTTGCCGCTTGCCAAATTCAAAACTAATATCTGGTTTTAAAAAGTCGATTGATAGATCAATAGCTCATATTTGTCCTTTCGCCACCTAAAAGAGCCTTTGAATTTTCCAAACGGGGCCAAATACCAAAGTATTAGGTAAATGAACTGACAAGTGCAATGAATTCGGCCGGATATGAGAGTTCTCGTGAGTGTCGTACTCTCATATTAGTGGTAGTACAAGAAGTTTTGGAGGATACTATCGAAAAAGAAGTTCTGCAGCAGAAACAGCCTGGTTGATTCCTTTCCCATCACTGTCTGAAAGAAATCATAAATGATGGAGCAAGTTATTGGGTTATATTCAATCTCGGAGAAAAATCGATAATTGATCGTTATTGACGTCCCCAAAAACTTATTTTCAGAACGAAAAACATGCATATAAGCACATGATTGACAAGCCAAATGTGCTGATACGAGTTCACAAAGATGGCACAATTCTCTATTCAGTTCGTATATCACTGGTACTCTCATGTCCAATGCATTTACAGGTGAGGCTGCAAATAATTAAGGTTTTTAGAAATAGTCAAGAGAATTTTATAATCGATTATCACCAGTTTTTCCTATCCCTATTGATCGATATCAAAAGTTTCCTTCGGTTTGCCCTTGCATTATATAATCTGAAAATTGACTGAATTGCTTCACTACGATTTTTATAGGAATTTGTGATTTCTCGAAAATTCTAATGCTAGAAGCTTTCAGTTCTATCCTATGGATGTTCAGCAGTGTTTTATTGATCTCGCCTCATATGCCTATACAACAAAGGATATAGGTGAGATGCTTCGAATTCTTCTGTGAACGTGGATTGAAAACTTGAAAAAAAAAATTGAAAATTCAATTTAATTAGACTAGTGCTTCAATCGACGATCGCGCGAGCTTAACAAGAGGAAATAAGGAGGAAAAAGAAAAAAAACAAAATCAGGATTAATGTCCAACAAAAGAAGTCCATGTGAAGAGGGAAATCTAGAAGGGGATCGGGAGAACGCCCTTATCGATTCAAGGATGTTCAGGGGTCAAAGGATTCCGATTAGGTCAAAAAAGTAACTTCAAAAACTCCTGGGCGTCTCAATGTAGTAGTTATTACTCCAGTTGACTTTACCTCTGACTTTACAACTTACAATCCCTGTTAGTAGCTGCTGGCGGTGGTAGTATTATAAGCAGTTAGAGCTCAGCTTAATCCAAGAGTTTTGCTGATACACGGCTTCTTCCCACTACTGTTTGGGATATGTATTTCTTTCAAATTGAACTTGAAATCCATGATTTTTGCAGATTACGTATGGAAAGTCGATGAACCGGTTCAACTAAAAGCAGGCTTATCATCATCGTTACCATCTTTCCAATTAAACAATGTATCTACTACTTACTGTACAAGTATAACCAATACGGGCACCTATTCATGTCTAAGAACCGTCCTGCAATTACGAAGGCAATTCAGGTAATTTTTCACAAGTAAACAACAAAACAACTTCAAAAGTCATATTATGAATTAGCAAATTAGCTGAAAAGGGTCTTTTGCTTTGACCTCCAGTTACTGAAAGTACAAATTTACTGACGACATTTTTTATTATTCATCTGTTTATTTGTTCCTCTTGGATATAGCTAACTGATGCGACCAATTAAAATCTTTTATTGGATGCCAATCAATATTTCAGACCAATTTTTCAGTTACTACCTCTTACAATTGTACATACCCTCGTGCATGTTAGTGATCGTCTCATGGGTCTCCTTTTGGATCGATCGATCAGCAGTTCCAGCTCGAGTGACACTTGGAGTCACAACACTACTCACAATGACTACTCAGGTTCTCAATAAACCAATTTTTTTAAAAAAATCTTTCAGACTTCTTTGACTACCCGAAAATTTCAAGATCTTTTATGAAACTAAATTTTCGGGACACATAAGGAACATACTTCCTCTTTTTTCCTCATTTTTGTTAAAGCTTTTGCCTTACCATTGATTTTTTCGATTTCCAGTCATCTGGTATAAACGCCAAACTACCTCCAGTTGCATACATCAAAGCAATTGACGTGTGGATAGGAGGTCAGCAACAACTAGTTCAATTTCCTTACACAGGTTTTTCTGATTAGGGATAGATTATTAAATAATTTAAATTTAGCTTATTTCTTTTTCAGCATGTTTGACGTTCATTTTCGGTGCATTACTCGAATTCGCCTGGGTTACGTACATAGCAAATCGTGCACAAGGGCGACGTAAGTGATTCTCACAAGCACTAACGTACCTCGAAGTACCGAAGTACTTTATATAATATTAAATTCAGTGTTCAATTATGTCTAGTATTTTTGACACTCCAATTTTTCAGTTTTTTTTCGAGTTGTTCTGAGCAAACAAAAATTGCTTTCAAAATGATTTCGTGTCCTTTAGAGCAAAAATAATTAGCAGTTTCTATTATGTAGTATTCGTCAATGAAAAAATCCTCTCCATCTGCGGTCCGTGGACGCGACCGCACGCTTGATCGTCATGTGATGCGGACAATGAAGCAGCGACTCGTCTGCAAATTCCTGTTGATACCCCTCCTTCCAGTTTCAGGAGGGAAAACGGCACTGACCATTATAGATTGCGATATTCAGAATTAACTTTTTAAATTTTTTTTTTATTTTATATTTTGATACCATCTGTTCTTCAATATGTTCCATTCCAACCTAATAGTATGCTTTAAATGGTTTCTAGTTTTATGAAAGTAAATGTGGAACCTGATCCCACAACCTCCGTGTTCAGGGAAAGAAGTAAAGGAGGTAAAGAACAAAGTATTGCTGGTACGGGAAAACGATGAGGTCTGGGTACCACGGATCATACGAGATCAAGAATTCGAGAAGTCCAAAGTGCTTCATAATCGGGTTAATCCGCAACGGCCATTTTATCGGTGGGTGCCCACGGGGCATTTTACTTTTACTATTTTCTGGCCATATTGGCAGTACAAAGTCCTATGGGAACCACCTACGTATCCGAGTAATCCCAGTATCTACGAATTCAGGTGGCTAGCAAGGACAATTGACTGGCATGATGAAGCGAAACGAGCGGATTTGGTGTCGAGTAAGGGCTACTCTTTTACCATTGTTTATCGATTGAAACTAATCAATACTAATCGATTGCACGGTTCAGGGTTGTTGTTCCCGTTACTGTTTGTGTCTTTCAATGTGGCCTATTGGATTCACTATGCTCAGTATCAATCGCCAACATAACTTCTGTACACATTTTACGAAATAAATATTGATTTTCTCGCTTTCTTCACAGGGAAACAATTGGAGCAATGGTAAGAAGCGTTTCCTGGAGCTTGCACCGTTCACAGGATTGAAATCATTTGGGAACATGAGGGCCAACCTATTCTTCCTGTATCGTTTCACATTGTTTTGAAGTTTCGTTCATGATAGATATTCAGGGCAGCGAGGGATTGAAATAATTGCTAGTTTTGCTTGTTTCTAGAGAACTCTGACGTTTACAACCTTTCAATGAGTTTTTCTGCAAGTCAAGGCCAACCTTGGTCCAAAACTTAATAGTTTCGTGTCATTGAATACTGAAAACTCTCGGGATAACTGGGTCAAATCACCCCTAATTGTTGGTCTTCGTAATTTTCCCTTCCAATTTCAGCTCTTTCGTACTGAAGAGTGTTTTTTGTGAGCAGTATGTCATGAAAATGTGCCTGAAAACAATTTCTGGGTAAACAAAGTTATGAAAACTAAACGTCAAAATTCGGAAAAGGTTAGGCATTTATTTAAAATGGGAGTTGGACAAGCCTCATACATAAATTTTGTGTAGTTTCAATCACTCCGATGATATCAGAAGGAATGTGAAGGCATGGCGCATTCTCAGCTATCAATGGCTATCAATTTCGTACTTTGGTCATGTGCTTAACCTTTAATCTAATACTGATGAATACTATGATTTCGTTTGTGCCCTCTTCGGAAGGATGCCGAACATGTGATTCCTATCAGCAATCAGGCCTGATAGCATACAATCTTTGAAACCGTATGGGTCCCGTCAGGAATTTCTGGAGATCCTGTACTGTCTAAGGCATGTGAATCCAGAAAAGCTCGAAAATGATCCAGGGATTTCGATAATGAACAAATGCAAACTGCATTTCCGGAAGTCGTAATTCGCGTACTATTCCGATTCCGACGATCACGAGCGATGAAATCGTCCTCGAAGGCAGTACCAGCTTGAAGTGTCTAATAGACAAGTACCCGGCTGGCAGTCAGCGTCACCGTGGCAATGTAGTAGTCAGTCATCCTTCTCATCAGACGAAGGAGTTGGTTTTGCTCTAGGTTTTTGTTTTCTTTTTATTCGACACCATACTTTGCCTGCTGTTAGGAAGGTTCCCGTTTTGTAGCATGAGCAGTTAGTGTTCAAACCGCCGAGAAGTGCATTGAACTAGTTTTTCAAGAGCTTTCAATAGTTGGGAGAAAGTGACGATGGTCTGTGGTTAGGTACAATCGTTTTCGAATCGTTTATGACCACTTCTTCCGATGGAATTGATGTAAGCGGTGATTTTGTCGATGCCATTAAAGTGTACTCCCGTAAACAGTTCATGAGAAACACTTTAGCGATGATTAGATCGAAAACCATATGGTCAGATAGAACAAAGGAAAGAGAAAACTGCTGAATGGACAGTAAATAACCATATGATATGATGAGGACACACTGATTTCCAATTCAAATGGAGAACTTCAAGCTTCTATTCGAAAAAATGATCACTTCAATGTGACATGCAGCATTTTATAGCAAAGTGGTATTAAATATACAAGTCGATATAACTTCAAACATTGTCTGCCTATCTGTCCGTCTGCTTGTCTGTCTGTCTGTCCGTTTATCTATCTGAATGTCTGCCTAATCGTCTGCCTCTCTGTTGGTCTATTATCTGTCTATCTGCGTATCTGTCTTCCTGTCCGTCTGTGTTCCGTCTGTCTCTCTGTCTGTCCGTCGGTCTATCTATCTGCCTGTCTGTCTGTTTACTGTCTGTCCGCCTGTCTCTCTGTCTGTATGTCTGTCTGTCTGTCAGACCTTCAACAGTCAATGCCAATCGATCTCGAAACACATGTGTATTCTGCCTATGAAGGTGCTACAAAAGGCATTAAATATGAGTTACAAAGGGCATACCGGACAACTTCGATGAAGACATGGCTCAGACCTGCCGATGAGAACCATGGAATCGCTGGAATGGCTTGTCACAGTGATACCAAGACATCCGTTTCTCATCTGTTCGACAACGGCTCGGCTGTCAGACTCGAGGTCGACTGAAGCGATTACCGGCTGTCGTCGCCATTGTGTAATTGTCTGGAACTAGCTGTATCGTCCTCGTAGAACCTTGTTTACAAACACCAAACAAACAAACTATCATGCAGTTCAAGGCCAAAGGTGTGAACCTGTGTTTAGAAAATAGCAGCTGGTCCAGATTGTTTCAAGTCAGTGAACCAGTAGTTTCAGCTAACTGAAAAGAGTGAAACTACTGGTTACTACAAGCAGATCCTAACCTCCTCCTCCTCCTCCTCCCCCCCCCCCCCCCCCCCCCCCCCCCCCCTCGACCATTCCACAATCCCTACTTCAAAACACTGATGATGTTTCTTTCTGAAAACCTCTCTTTTACTTTTCAAAAACGGCAAGATCAGCAGAGGAGGCGAGTGGGAAAGAAAGGATGCCATCCCCGCCAGGATCATCTGTTCAACAGAAACTACGCGGCACTACCTCACTTCTAAGACATCGGACAGAAGGGCCTGCAGGACGATTCTGTGACTCAAGCTCAAAAACGGAATAAATAAGGTTTTCAGTATCAAAATAGGTGAGATAGAATAAAGTCTCTGAAAAAACAAAGAAAGAAAGCTCCCGCTTTGTGAATGCGCTAGGTTTCGCCCTTTCCTATTACTAGTTGGCATCCAAATATAACGAGATGCATGAATTGCGAAAGGCTACTTCCCGAATCTACTCGAACAATGCGCTACTGCGACAAACAGTTTACGCCAAGGTTGTTTGACACTCTTAGCGACCACTACGGCGCGAATTAACTTTCGATTCACAGAAACTTGATTGTTACCGAATGGCCTTACCAACTGCCATATAAAAACAGCCAAAACGAGACTGTGCAACAGAGCATCTCATTGCTATGAGAAGCATCTTTGTTGTGGCGGTGGCCGTAACGGCCTACTGGTAAGATGTTGTTGTACTTGTTACTGAATTACTGTATAATATAGATTTAATGAATTACCAACGTGTATTTCAGCCAATATGCCTTTGCTGGAGGCATGTCCGGAGGCGGCTACGGAGGCGGTGGCAGTGGCGGAGGCGGCTACGGAGGCGGTGGCAGCAGCGGAGGCGGCTACATGGGCGGAGGAGGCGGCGGAGGAGGCGGTGGCGGAGGCGGAGGGGGAGGTGGAGGAGGCGGAGGATATGCAGTAGCTCCTCCACCATACAACCCACCCGCACCACCCGCACCGCCCCCACCTGCACCACCTGCACCACCTGCACCTCCTGCACCACCCCCACCCTGTAGTGGTGCCAGCTGCGGTGGCGGCGGCGGCGGTGGCAGCTACGGTACCGGAGGAGGCAGCGGAGGTGGCGGCGGCTACGGCGGCGGAGGAGGCAGCGGAGGCGGTGGCAGCGGCGGTGGCGGCGGCTACAGTGGCGGAGGAGGCAGCGGAGGCGGCGGTGGAGGAGGCGGTGGCGGTGGCGGCGGCGGCGGAGGATACGGACAAGGTCCACCACCTCCACCTCCACCCCCACCACCTCCACCACCCCCACCTCCACCACCCCCACCTCCACCACCCCCACCACCACCACCTCCACCATGTAGCGGTGCTAGCTGTGGCGGCGGTGGCAGCTACGGTACCGGAGGAGGCAGCGGAGGCGGCGGCGGAGGAGGCAGCGGAGGCGGTGGCGGCGGCTACGGTGGTGGAGGAAGCGGCGGCGGCGGCGGCGGTGGCAGCGGCGGAGGCGGTGGCGGAAGTGGCGGCGGCGGCGGGTATGCTGCTGCACCACCACCAGTTGGACCACCACCAGTCGGGCCACCCCCAGTTGGACCACCTCCAGTAGGACCACCACCAGTCGGCCCACCACCATGTAAGTGATACTTCAACGCAACTTGTGATATAAAGAGGTTTATTACAAAATTTATTACTATTAATACATAAATATTATAGCCGGCGGATATGCCAGTGGTGGAGGATATAGAAGACGTGTATTCAAACGAAAGCACATGTCGATGAGGAGGAAACACTTCAGCAGGGCTTAATCGCTATTCCATTTAGTTGTAATGCCAAAACAATCGTAATGCGTGTATACGAGTACCAGTAAAGCTTTTTTCTCACTGCTATTTGAATTGAGCACCTTATTTTGAGCTACACATTCCCTCTGCTCTTTTTTGAGTCCCGTCAGCGGTAATGAAAAGCTGTCCGCTGACGGACCCTTCTGCAGGGACAAGAAAGTAGGTAGCAGAAGCGGGGACACAGAAAGTGCTCAGTTCCATGACTCAATTGGAGTCCTTCCTTAAAGCGTTCTGTAAGTCATCTGGGTACATCAGAAAGCAAAACTAGATTACCGTATTTACTAGAGTACACCAGAGCACACGATTCAAAACGAAAACATATGAATATGGGCAAATCCGCATTCCTATGGGAACGCCTTGCATATGGCACTATTGGCTCCACCACAACCACTTTATTTTTTACAAAAATTGAAGTTTTTATACGATCCATATTGGTCCCACAGCTGCATGGGAAATATATTATAAATGCAAAAAAAATCGTGGACTTTTGGACTTTGATTCCACAAAATACTGGATCCTACCGCTTTGAGTGAGCATCTACATGACTGACAGGACTTGTGATTTTCTCGTGAAAACTTCTGAGACAACCACTTGGACAACAATTGTCGAGGAAGACGGTTCCGGGAAAGAGTCATGTATTTGACACAATAACCAAATATCCAGCGATTCTTGGGAAATTAGAGATTCGATAATTTGATTCGTCTGAGATTTGATAAGGATTAAATTGATTCCGAGGTAATGTAGGATGTGGGGATGCTAAGTAGGATAAACCAATTCTTGATAGGATAAACTTATTCTGTCCCGAGTCGATCCCATCCTTTCGGGATTCCAGGAAGGCAGATCAGCAGAAATGTTAGCAATTCCAGGTAACTGCCAATCCCGCATGAAGTTATATTAAGGAAATGATACCATTAACCATATCTGTCTCAAGCTACAGTAGCACATAACTCAAGGCATGACCCATCAAAAGAAGCTCAATGTTTCCCCCATTGCCTTCGAAGGATAGCTTCTGTAAAGGGAGGAATACGGAGGCTCCCAAGGAACGCTATGAATTCAACTCCCAATGGCATTTCTGAACATTCGTCTTATGCAATATGTTGTGTGAATACTCGTGCAAGCTGAAGGTCACTCAGATTATCACCTCACTTCTTCCCTTCTCCCCACCTTGAGCACCACATCACCTAGTATTTACTTACCCAAAAGTATGTCAACAGGGTAATGCAGGCGAGTCAAGCTCTGTACACCTTATTCATTTTGAACTTGAACTGATTGTATAAACCGTAACGGGCTCTTAATATTTACCAGGACCAGAAACAACCCTCGCGTCACAGTTAGAATGCCGGTGAGTGAGAGTCGTAGTCAGGAAACCCACCACTCAGACAAGGGGTACGGTGAAGATCTGAATGAACAAACCGATTTTTGAGCATACAAAAACGAAGGTTGTCTTTTTTTCAAGCTGCATGAGCTACTGACCTCAGTTTTAGCTGATTAGATTCTTTCCTCACGGTTGATGAACCTCCATTACTGAGCTACCGCTCGAAGAGTGGACTTTTTCAGACTTAAAGAAGCCTTAACATCTCATCAAATCACGCGTCGTCTAATATGCTTTAACCATACCCTCATGCTTCCCTTTTCTGGCAACCCGCCCTGTATGACCCTCTACTACTTTCTCCACAAGATTAGAGGTTCAAGGAACAAACTTCATTTTTAAAATCAATAGTAGGCGGAATCGGAAAACAGCATGAGCTACCCAGTCTAATTTTAACTGTTAGTAATGACTGTGACGCTTAGCTGCGTATGTAAATGACCTTCGATTACTCCGCGCATTTCTCGCTACAAAGGAATTCCTTCGCACAACCATTTGGTCAATGCTTTCTTTATTGAGACAGCTTACAGACCTTCAGAAACACTAAAGAAGGTAAGTAAGTACCGTCCATAAAGATATGACCAAAACTATTTTCGACCAAGCCCTTTGAGCCGCCTCCTCTCCTACCCTCTCCCACCGCCCCTCCCCCTCCGTTTCCCCTCTTCAGCTCATTGAATGTCTTCTACGAACTGTGGGAAGTTCACATTTTTTCACGAGAAAAAATCAAGTCATCAAGCGAATTAATCAAAGCCATTGGAACAATGGAAGTTTTTCTTTCTGCTCAGGAACTGCTCCAGTAGATCAGTACGAACTGGAACTCGGACGACGATAAGTCAGACAGGTGGAGAAGCAGCTTGGATCTTGGATTGTTCGATTACTTTCAAGCCTCTAGTTGTCGGATGACAGAAGTGGAGATTGGACGGCAACTGTTTGAAAGATGGACGATCAAATCTCAGCTCAGTCAGGGCAAAAAAAGGCCTGGCGTTTGCTAGTGGTCAAGAATGTATGCAAGGTATTTGACTATTTTGACAGAACTGGGAGTGATGCAGTTGAATCGAAATAGTCGTTCCGCGGCGAGAGCGACGTCGCGCGCGAAGGACTGTGGCGGATTGAAGCAAAAGCGGCGCAGCGAGTAAGAAACACGGGAACAAAAGAAGTAACCGTAGAATCATGTCAAAAATAATAATCGTATATCGATTGAGCTGTATGAAGAAGGCTAGAAATGCAATAACGAGGCAACTAGCCCGCGACTGCTGTATGCGGCGAATCGATCACACGGAACTGATCCAACTGTCTGTCTCCTATGTCATTTTCCTGCCTTTTTCGGGATGTAGGAGTTTTTCTATTCAAGCTATACATCTACAAGCCTGAAAAGACGCTCGCACAACAAGGTTTAAGTGACTGTTCTGAGTAGATACCGCGATCGTCACCTATCAAATGTTATTCCAAACCGAATGGTTCTTGGTCTTGTAGAGACTGCATGGTATCGAGCCAACACAAAGGAAAAGATTCGATTCTGTAGGCAAGCTGGCGGAAGCTTGTCCTTCATAGCTCAAAATGTAAGGAAAAGGGAAATAGATTTTTCGGCAACGTCTGATCGCTGGACATCTCCTCCCATTAAACTAAAAACTGAAACAAGAAAAAGACGATATCAGATTGTTTTGAACAAGTGTCTTCAAGGAGAGGTTGACGGGTAATAGCTGAATTAAGCCCGGGAAAGATACACTGTGGCTAAAATAGCAATTACAGTTATAAACAAATAACGTTCCTATTACTGTAACTCAAAAACAAGGAAAAACAAAAGAAAACAAACTGCTATATTGACTGAAAGGTTTCTTTTCCCAGTGCCTTCTAGCATACTCTGAGGAAGTCACTAAATATTTATCGGAATTGTCTTTAATCGCTGACCGTTTAGTGGAATCTAGCTGGTGCTTCGTCTCCTTCAGGATGCTTCTGGATGTTTCCAGCAGCTACCGTCGAAGAGTGTTCACTAATCAGGACTCCTGATTCTCATCCTGATTAGCCAACCCATGAGCCCCTTACAGCGTCGGTATACCTAGCATCTACCATGGTAATGCTATTTCATCGGTATGGGCGGGGCAAATGCTACAATTGCTGCTTCCGAGCCAGATGAGCTCCCAGCGGACTAGAAAATAGAGTAAACATCGAACCTGGTGGTCCAGGTAAACAAGCAGCTGCATACTACTGCAATAGTGACCAATATGTTGGTCAGGAAGTTGAGACTCACAAGAATCCACTCGCTGGATAAGTACTACTGCAGTAGAGAACGAACGGCCGCACTTCTACCGCTCCTAACAGAGGATGACGAAGGTTATGAAATCACTTAATATCCACCGAGTTTTGAGGATTGAAAATACTGTCTCCCAGCGAAAAAGGGTCGGTAATGGTAGGAATCGCAAGGGGATCGGGCCTTAAAAGGAAGTATGCCGTTCTGAAAGTGCCTATTGAGTGACGATAATTGACGAAATTGTGCGATAAACGCAACTGGTAAAACAAAAGTCAAAGTGACCATTATAAGTGGAAATAAATTTGATGTTCAAATTGACTGATAAGATAGGGGGTTGTTGACCGCCTCGATGGCGATTACGATGCATTGAGGTACCTGCCTGACACCACTGATCAACAGCCATTTGATAAATAGTGAATGATAAGATTGGTAGGAGAATGATTCGGAGAGTGAAACTGATAGCCAGCTGAGAGTTTCCCGTGACAGTTACTTACAAAACTGAAGGAGATTCCGTAGCGTTAATCCTTATCCACAAAAACCAGAAAGCTAAGTTTCGTGGTAGGATGCTGACAAAGCGCAGCTGGATCGCAAAACACTAGTTTTGCCGAATTTCGCAGTCAGATAAGAAAAAGTTCATGAGAATTGTTCTTTTTGCAAAAAAAATCCTCTGCTCGACGGCGTCCTGACCGAAGGGAGCAGTGGCTGGTTCACCGACTCCATAAACTCCCTAAATAGGTATCTGGTAAGCGATATATGACCTGGAAATCAGTTCCATCCCGACTTCGTCAACTACATAGCGCAACTACCCAAGTTTAAAGGCACGGTTCACTTTAAAAATGGTTACTGAGTTCTTCCTTTAGGAATACTCAGTGGCCCCCATGGGTGGTAGAAGGTACCCTCTCGCTCCCGAAATCTCGACGGTCGGGGCATAGTGGAAGCTCTGTTGCTCTCTTGAGCGGCTTTCCCGCCTCTCGATCGATGTCACGTCAGACGAGTGTCGAGGCGATACAGATTGCAATTATTCGTTCTAGGACAAACACACAATCAGATGATCGCCAAGTGAAGAGGCATGTATTCTTCATTCTTCTTCCCTCTGTTATTCTTTTTGCTGCCACGATCCCTTTTTTAAATTCCGAGAGGCTGAAAAAGGTGAGCTATTATATTTTTGTCGTAATTAGGATTTCTTGTTTACTTATGCTTACGAGTGAATGAATTTCGCCTACCGCAGTGAGACACATTGTATAGCTCGTCCAAACGCCCCACTCTTCTTCGTTTTTCTGGTATCATTCTGTCCAGCCCCCTTTTTAACGATTTTTCGAAGTCTTTTTTCACTTTAGAAACACCGATTCACGCATTTTCTTCACCTTCATCGCACTATTTTCCATCTTATCTTCCAATTTTCGTCATAATCTGGGTTACCCAAAATTATCGTGAGTTGTGCCTTCGATCAGTGGTGATGGACCCGTCCGGTAGATCGAGCATTGGTTTCCTGGGTGGGCAGCACGCTTCACACACGCATGGTCACGGGTTCAAATACCGGGTCGATATCCGTCTAGGCCAACCAAGCTTTCCATCCCTCCTGGGTCGGTTAGTTGGTACTAGACTCGTCTGGGAGGATAAAAGCATTGACTTGTACATCAGCTGGCCACCGCAAGTCATTGTATAGGCCGCATGCGCATTCAAAATGGCACTACGATTCTGAATGGAAGTCGAAAGTTGAAGTGCGTGGGCGCATCCCTCAGACGGGATTGACAGACGCCCCACGACTTTATCCTTTATCCTCTCCTAGGCGGATGGAGATGTCAGAAAGTAGACCTTGGGTCGGTTGGCTGTTCAGTCGTTTGCTGGTGAACTAGGTGATGTCAAGTTCAACTGGGCCGCAAGCTTTGGAGCAACTGGTGCCAAATCCACATAATGAAATGTTTTACAGTAAAAGGTTCAGCGAGCAATGTTCATTCTCTTCCCTTAGCGTTGCTTTCAGTTTGTTTACGATACCAGTAATAAAAAGTACGATAAAAAGACTGTTTGCGACCAACAATAGTCGTCCGCAGAAGCATGCGCCAAGGCCAATCAGCAGATTGTAACATCGAAAGCATGACTAGACAATCAGGCGTTTATGTTCGAGAATCGAACTTTCTACGCGAATGACCCCCACCGAAATGAGTATAAAGCTGTTGCAGTCCCAATGGGTAATCACACTCCATACGTTTCCAAAATATGCGAAGTATCGCGCTATTAGCACTTGTTGCTGCAGTTTTTGGGTGAGTCGACTTAATTGAAGCCTTGGTTATTTTCCACAGTGACTACTCTCAAAATGCTTGATTATTCAAATAAAGTTAGCATATGTTTCAGCCAATATGCCTCGGCTGGAGGCATGTCCGGAGGCGGCTACGGAGGCGGTGGCAGTAGCGGAGGCGGCTACGGAGGCGGTGGCGGAGGCGGCTACGGA